ACATAATTAATTTAATACATCATCATTTCTTTTTAAGAAAAAAATTTTTTGCTTGTTACTATTTTTAATAATCTTTTATACTTTTTTTTTTTATCTATTATATATTTTAATTTAGATGTATGAAAAATGTCAAGTTAACTACAAATTACATTTCTATCTATATTATTTTTCTCTCTGTGTATATGAATGGATGCCATTGAGAAAGCACAAAATGTAGCATGTCCCTTTGTCTGTGTATGAGTGCGTTTGTATGTGTGTGTGTATTTGTTTCTTGACCACAAAATTACAGTTAACAAATTTGCAGAAACATTTAGAAAAGTTGCACTCGAAACAGAGTAGAAACGCAGAAGCCCATCCTAATACCATCGCACCACCCAACCACCCAACCACTCAGCCACTTGGCCACTCCTGCTGGCCTGCACTCGAAGAGCTGTGTGGTGAACTCTCTTAATTGCAGTCGGAGTTTAAATTTGTAAATTTACCAAAGAAGCTTTAACGTTGATTAGATTAGGCAAAGAGTTTCCGAACGAGGAGACTCTTAAATGGAAAGGCTACGAATAACTACTGGATTATTCAGTTATGTGTGGTTTCGGTTTTTGCTAAATGCTCGACCCACTCAACTTGCCGAGGATTTATAGCCAGGTAGCTGTAGAAGCAACGGCCCACAGAGACAGAGAGGGAGAGAGAGATAGATAGAGACTGAAAACTCTGAATTTAGAAAAAAATCTCCACACGCTTTAAATACACCTTGTAAATCACGCCTTTTGTCAGCATCAGATAACGTTTGGCATAAATTTAGTTTTAATTGACTTAATGCTTGTACTTTTATCAAATAATTAATTACAGCTCGAAGTGTGGGCAGCTCCTCTGACTCCGGACAAACCAACTAAATGACAGCGCAGCGAGCGCTAAATGTTGTTGTTGTTGTATTGAAAAACCAGTTTAGGATTTCTATACAAATATATATACCCTGTAGATTCCTTCCCACCTCTGTCTGTCTGGCACATTTGCTGTCACTCAAGCGTCACAAGTGGCAACAAATCAAATGGACGACATTGCGAGTAGTTCGGGCTGTTGACCAACTGTCTAGGCCTGGTCGAGGCTACATCGAACTGAAATTGTTGAATTGATAGGGTAATAGATTTGGTAGACAATTATACAATGGGCATTTGATGTTGGGTCAGTGCTATTTACATAAATATACCCTATATGCCAAAAGTCAGCGAACTTCCATTAACAATTACTGATGTTTTTATTTTTCTATTTTAATTTGTTTTAATATATATATTAACCAAATTATATTACGTAAGTTTTCATTATATTTATCGATTACTCAGATATTTTTTTATTGAAAATATATCTGGATACTCACAAAAATATATACATAATTATATTAAACAAGTATACTTTATATTTACCGAAAATAATATTTAAATTATGTTTATTTTAATTAACATATTTTACTTTATTTTGTTATTATTTTATTTTACTTAACTTTACTTCACATTATTTTACTTTATTTTTTAATTATTTTCCTTTTTATTTATTTTTTATTATTATATTTTGTTTTATTTTGTATTATTATTATTATTTTTTTTTTCATTTATTTCATGGAAGTTAAATTAACTATTCCATTTCCTATGAACCTGTTAAATTATTGTATTTATTTGAGCCCTGGCTGAAAAAAGTCTTTCACTGCAATTAACTGCAAAACTGTATTGTATTTTCTTTACTACCCATTGCCGTATTTCCCAACACTAAACGCCTGCAACACTTAAAATGCGTTGACAGTTGGCAGCTTGAAGCTGATGACAGGTCTTTGGCTGGCTCCTAAGCACTAAGCTGCTCCACGCGCCACGAGCTGGTGACTTGTCGCACAGTGGGGAGTATTAAATAAAAATATGTCATAAATGTGGATGTAGAAAAAAGATGAAGGAAATATTTAAAATGAGAGAAATGGGAGTTGATATGAAAAATACTGAAAAACGCTGAATAAGATAAGTTCTTAAAAATAGGATAAGCGAGGTATTGCCATATAAAGTAAGACAAACTTTTGCTAGATGAGATTTAATATGAAACAGCTCAGTTGTTCGAGTCTTAAGAATTTTTGTGTATGTCCAGACAGAAATTTTCACTTTGGCTATACAAATTTGATAATTATCTCTCATCTATTTAACATCCTTAATAAAATAATTATTGTATAAAAATGAACATAGAATGTTAATATATAGCTAAATGCGCTTTATAAGATGCAACAAGTAAATTCAGAAAATAAGTTGTATAGTAGTTGAAATTTTGTCAAGGGAAATTTCACATTTGTCCCACTGTCCCGCTGTGTGTCATCTGCGTGGGTGCCGCTCGGTCTGCCTGGAACTGTTATACGTGGCTTTGCTTTGGTTTCCTTTGGCAGCGGCGCTAATTGTGAACTTTTCTATCAGTTTTGCTGTGCGCCGGTGGCAAATGTCGCTGCACTTTGTTGCTATTGTAAATGTTGTATGCCAACAACAAGAACAACAACAACAAGAACAACGAGAAAAACCCATTGAGATCAATATCAATATCGGGCTGCAGTTGGGCCAATAAAATTGTATTAAGTGTAATTAGCTTTGTAAGTGAGTTATTTATGTACCCGAATGGCCCCATTTGTTGTTTATGTAGTGCAGTTTAATGCACCGCAATTTGTGTGTGTATGCGATTTGATTGATTGATTGACAGCGAATGGCCCCTGAAAACCGAAAGTTGTTTTCGACTGTAATTGATATTGACTGTTTTGAGGTTCAGTTTGGACAGCTAAAGTATCAATTTACAATTTATGTTAGGGTCTGAACAGTTTCGAATATTTTGCAATGGACTTAGGAACTTGACTATAAAATTTTTCTAATATGATATGGTAAAAATCCCTATTTATTATAGTAGTTCTAGTGTGTGCAAAATACATAAAATATAGATGTTTTGATTTGATTTCCATTAAAACATAATCAACTTAATTTAAAACAGTTGGCACTTCTAATAAAGACCTTCAATTTCAAGTATAATTACTCTCACTCTATATATTCCATTTCCTCTTCGATCTGTAAAATTGACATCAGCTAAATTGCATGTCATTTTTGTGATTGCTTCATTAACATCTTTCAATCTTTTTTTTTATTTTTGCTTTTTGTCTCTGCGACGCCCTAAAACTTTCATTGGAACCTGCTCAACAGAAGTCTGATTGCAGCTGCTTCAGCATTCACTCTCACTCTCACTCGCTCAATCTAACACAAGCATCTGTGTCTATCTCACTCTTGCCTTCATTCATATTCATTTGGTATGGAGCCACTTTTGATTTACATTCAATTGGCAGCGCACTCACTGCTGATGGTCGCAAAGAGCTCAACCCAACGAATTTTTGGCGCTTTGTCTTTTGTTCATTATTCGCTCTTACGATTTAATGAAATGATAACGGTGGCAGTGGCACTGGCAGATGCAGAGGCAGCGGCAGCAGAAAGCGAAAAACAGCAGCACCAACACTAGAAATAGAATAAGGAGCAACAGCGGATTCACCAACACTAGCAGCAACATTAGAGAGAGTCAGCAGCTGAGAGAAGCAGCAGCAACGACAGCAGCAGCAGCGTCACTAGGAGCAGCAGAAGCGGAACCAATAACAAAAGGAATAGTATAAATTTTATTGTCATTACGCTGGGTGACATTTTTCTGACATTTGCCATCTACGTGGTCGCTCGCTGTGCCTCTCTCTTTCTCTCTCGGCGCTACGGTGCTCTCTCCAGTCTTTGTAGCCAGGCAATCAATTTGGCGCTCAGTAACGGTACGTTCTCAGTTGCCAATGTGTGTGCTGCCTTGGCGTTCATTCAGCTAAGCTCTGCTCTGCGCTTTATCATTTGCTTTTACTCGCATCCTTCATGCCCAGCACGTTTGTTATCTTTTGTGTAGTTGATTGTTTCCGTTTTGCGTAATAAGTTGTTTCCGCACTCTCGCTCACTCTATCTCTCTCTTTCTCTGATGCTCTATCTGTCTTTGTGTTTGTGCGCATTTCTGTTTTTTTTTTTTTCGCATTTTGTTTTTGTTTTGCGTGACTTTCGTTTTCATTTGCGTTAATTACCAATTTAAATGCAAACTTGGCCCCAGTTTCGTGACGAAGATGAATGAGCTGCATTTGGCGACAGGCGGCAAAGTCCTTTTGTTCTCTCACTTGACAAAGTTGTCAAGTCCTTTGACTTCTTGAATACTTTAACGATCTGTCCATGTTGTGTGTCTGTTCGTCTGCGTCGCAGGCTATTAGAAATCGTTGTTGTTGGTGTAAGACATTGATGACAAATCTCCTCCTTACGTTCATTTTGCGCATTTTGCGCACATTTCACACATCATTGCCTTGGTCACACTGAGCCTGCAGTTGTTATAGGATGTTGGTGTATTCAAATAAGTTTTCTTTATTATTTATATAAAGATTGTTATCATGAGATCAAAAGAAGAAAAGGAAAAAATAAATTTAAATTCTTTATGAAGCTAATTTTCTGTTCCTGTTGCAAATATAACAAATCAGGCATTTCTTGAAATATAAAATATGAAAGTTTAAAATTTATTTCCAAAGCTCGCAATTATTTCGCGGACTAGTCCGTAACCCACTGAATGGCTGGCAAATCCGTGCCACAAATTAAAATGTCAAAGCCACGGCTAAGCCTTCGAGCAGTAAGTCCTTTTCTCATTGTTCCACTTGCATTCGCTTGTGCGTTTAAGGACCGCGCTCTGTGTGGGTTTGCCCAGAGGTCAGAGGACAAAGGGCAGATAGTTAATAGCATTATTGTGATTATGAATGCACTTAATTTATGCCACCTTCGAAATGGAATTTTAAATGAGCTTCATGCGTTCGCTTTCAGTTTCAATGCAATGCTGCATGCAAATGCACACAGAGAAATTGTAATGGAAGTAGTTTTTATTGATTTATATTTTTATATGAATTTAAGAAGAACTGTTTGATTTAACTTGAATTGGAATATATATAATTTAAATATAAATGATTTATTAAATTTATTTTCATAAATATTTCTCTAAGTGTAACACATTATAAATACAATTCAATAGGTAAAGTAGAGTACAATTCCAGTATTTATAAATATATTTTAATCTCTTATAAATTATTTATTTATATTTCTCTCAGTGTATATTTGATTTCAAGGTCCCGCCAATATATCACAAGTCAATTTCCCATGTTCATAAATCAATACGAGCCAGTTGGTTACTTCAATTTGTGTGGAGCGCGCAGGAAGCAGCTGCATTCCTGAAGCCGATCCATACTATATGTATGTAAGGGTATATAGACTCTTGTTATGCTCACAATGCTGGCACTATCTATCCATTTGTCTGGCAAGTTTCCGTTTGACAATTATAAATTGTAAGCTGCGTTGCTCCTGCTCCAGCTCCTGCTCCTGCTGATGCTGTGACATAATCGCGATGATTCCTGAACTGACTTGGGGCAAGTGCGATTCATATTTTGTGAGCTGTCTGCCGGCTACCGGACTACGGTCTGGACATGATGAATGATGCTCAACGATGCAGCTGCAATGCGCCACTGATTGAGTTATTGGCAAAGGCAGCAGAGTGAGAGGGAGACAGAGCCAGAGATAGAGCAGACTGAGTGTGGGAACATGCAAATATGATAACAACACCTACAACATGCCACAGAGTTGTTCGCGCTGCCTGGCCAAGCATGCCACAGTGCATGCCACAGAGCACCTTTCGACTCGTACAGTTTTATTGTGTTCGACTCTAAACAAGAACAAGGTCCAACTTATCCCTGTTCGGGCAACGATCCGAGCATGTTGTCCGGCCTGGCCCAGGCCCAGGCCTATTGTTTGCCCAGACTTGGAGCATGTTCGTTAAGTGGAACTGGAGTGCAGTGCAGTGCAGCGCACAGGCACTGGCTGTCCGTAATTACCAGCAGACTGCCGACTGCAGGCTGCAAGGACATGCCAAGGATGTGAGTCGTCCGAGTAAATAAAACTGTGCAGACAATTAAGTTTGTTTTTGCTTCGCATATTTTCCTTACCATCCAAGCCAAGCAATTTAACGTTACGTTTATGTATATCTGTCTATCTGGCCTACCCCGGCGTAGGTGTTGCAATCACGGCCACGGCTGAGCTCTGGCCCAAGAAATTGCACTAATTGATGTTAAAAGGTTTTTGTGTTGGTCAACTTTGGGTTTTATTTGCTTGACTTTCTCGTTGAGTAATTTGATTTCATGTCGAAAAAGCCTACCAAATCTTGTCTAATTGAAAATGCCAGATGAGCAAAAGTTGTGAATTTATTAAATATGAAATATCGAAATTTATTTGAATAGACAAGAGATTAGCATAAAAGGTTTTTATTGCATTTTAGTTTAAAAGTGTTTTATGATTGCTTTAAATTCATCTTGATTTTTTATATTTATTTTTTTGATGTTATAGCTGCATTATATAAGTAAATGTTATTATATTGATATATAAAAAATTTGTAATATATAAATTATCGTGTCACGAATATAATGTGATTTGATATTGTGATAGACACATAACATAACGTCTTATTACTAGAGTGTTGTAGGAGTTATTACTCGAGTTGGCAGCACTCGTCTTAGTTTACTCAAATTGGCACCTTGCGAGAGTGAGGCAAATAGAGCTGTTGATGAAAATAGTCCCAGCTGCTGCTGAGAGAGAGAGAGAACGAGATGGCAGTAGGCCTCTCATCGAAAAATCAACGTGTTTGTCGGTTGCCTGTCAGCAGTACAATATAAAGGAAGCTGTAAATTAACGAGATCGATTTAAAAAGAGAGCAAGTTTATTTCGAAAGTACGGCAGCACAAGGAATTCATTAAAGAGCGTGGCTTTACTATGGATAGGCAAAATGATCGTTTTGAGCGAGTTAATACTTATATTTATATGGATATTCATGTGTATGTATATGTATGAATATAAAACACAACAAATTTGTAAGCATTCTCGGTTTTCTTTGCAGATTTCCCATACGTAATATACGCGGTGTAGAGTATGGATGCCATTTAGTGATTTATTATTAATCAACTATTCAGATGCATTTGTAAAACTGGGATGGAAAGGGATGGTAAGTCGGAGTCTTTATATCTAGTATTATAATCCAGATTCAGCTCTCTTTATTTAATAATATGCATATATTCAAGGCAATTGCTTCTGTATTATAATTCTGTCTTTATTATACCCTGAACCCATTGAAAATGGGAAATCAGGGTATAATGGTTTTGTGAAAAAGTATGTAACGGGCAGAAGGAGGCGTGGCAGACCCCACAAAGTATATATATTCTTGATCAGCGCGACGAGCTGAGTCGATATAGCCCTGTCCGTCTGTCCTTCCGTCCGTCCGTCCGTCCGTTCGTCCGTCCGTCCGTCCGTATGAGTGCGTCGATCTCAGAAGTTATAAGAGCTAGAGAGCTGAAATTTGGCATGCATACTCGTGAGTACCATACGCAGTACGAGTTTGCTTTATTTTTTCGATAAATCGTCCGATAACTTTTTTATCGAGAATAATCGAAAAATTGATTTTGTTTTTTCAGCCTAATTTGAACATTTTTAGACCTGGAGTGTTCAAATTTGGGTTGTATATAAAGTTAATCGATACAAAGATTTTGTAATTTACAGATTTTGGATACCACGCCCCCTTCTCCCCAAATTTGTAAAAAACGCATTTCAAGTACTAGAGACTTGTGCTTTGGAATGTACACACGTATTCACCATATGATTACACTCTGAAAGTTTCATTAAGATCATATGTTTACAAAAGAAATTATTCAACAAATAAATTCTCATAATATTGCCCACACTGCAGCGCAGCCCAGTCGCTGCTTACTGCGCAGTTAGCAGAGCGCAGGCTTATGCGTGCGTGTGGATGCATGTGTATGTATGTGTGCATAAAAGTGCAGAATGATTAGAATATCAGCTTAGAGGGTTCAGGGTATCTCCTAGTCGAGCTGTCTCGACTAGAGCCTTCTTACTTGTTTTTTATTAACAATTTCAAAGTTTGCGTCTCATCCATTTAATTGTTAATAATTATTTTTTACTAAAGTTGGCTTCACGCTTTTGCCATTCACTTGCAAATGGGGCTTTAATTAAAAGAGGCGTTATAACTTTGCAGACATTTACATATATTTATGCTTAATATGTATTTAAGCAGCCAGGGCTAACAGCACAATTAACCATTGTGTGGGCTGCCTTAACTATGAAAAAAACTTTGGCCAGAAGCGAAACCACTTAAACTCATTTTAATTCAAGCGGCATACGAACTCGACTTCTTCAGGCAAACATGTATAATTTTATATATATAAGGATATACGCTTGTTTAAAAATTTACCTCTATACATATACATACATATATGTGTGTGCGTCTATATATCATGGGGCAGACAGCAGACCCTTTCTATATGCTCGCCACTATCCCAACACTTCCTCTGCCGTCACATGCAAACACTTGTAAAATAATTTCATACATTTTTGTTTTGCGCTTCTTTATCTTTTCCCCACTCGACTTTCCTTTTATACACCTTGAAGAGTTACTAGACGAGCGTATGTGCTTGTTTGTGGATGCTCAATAATTGGGTTCTTGATGCTAGAATGATTTCTAACTATTTTTTTTATTGAAATAAATGAAATATAAGTATAAACTATAGCAACTATCCTTAACTCATATAGTTTTTAGCTGTATATGCTTTTAGATTAAATGTAGTATGATATAAATGAAGATCAATATAAATGTTAATCGATTTTAAGGAAATTGTTAATATTGCAGATTATTTAAATGCAAGATTAATGCAAATTATAGAAATATATAAAAATATATAGAGGTCCAATATATAGAAATACTTACTTATATATAAACAGTTAAAGGAATTTTTCGGGCTCTTAAAAAGTGCGCCTTACATAGCTTTAAACATAATTTCTGCTTTCATATGTTTGACTTTAAGACTCCTAGTGTACTGCCGTCTCCAAATACGACTTCTTTCCGAGTCCCTTATTTCTAATAATCTTCTCCACATCCACTGACGATCAATGCTTTGAATGATCATCTCACTCTCACTACGCAATGTCTGGAACTACGTTCTTTCTCTCTTAGGAGCGAGATTATTTTGAGAGTAAGAGCAGAAGTCAAGATATAAACTGGCTCGTATAATACCTTCAAGTTCTCAGCCTGTCACCCACACTAATGTAACAGTATGTAGTATTTCATCTCTAGTAGTTTCTCGTACGCCTCAAAACAGAGTATGCTGTAGTCGGAATCAACCGAATTCCAACGCTCCAACTTGTTGTTTTGCGTATGTCTAGCGCGTCTCAAAGGGTTTCGCACTTTCCTGTGTGTGTGTGTATGTGTGTGATGTCTGTGTGTGTAGGTGTGTGCAGGGTGTTGGTTGTACGCCCCAAGCAAAGGCTGCATATGAAAATATTTGTTAAACCTTTTGCAATAAAGCAACAATTTATGCGAGTGCTGTGAATATATGCTAAATGTGTGTGTAGTGTGTGTGTGTGCGTGCGTGTGTAGTGTAGTATACATGTGTGTGTGTGTGTGTGTGTTTCTATGTATTTTTTGTAGTGCGAGGGCACTTTGAGGTCGCGCTGTAAATATTTAAAACTCATTTTGGTATATTTTAATTTGAGTGCATTTTATAACTTGGCTGGCAAATGGAAAACTGGCTAAAGAATCAGCTTCGAGATTTTAATCTGACCAGAGTAGATTATGCTTTAAATAAATAAGAAGTTTTAAGATAAAGGCCAAATGCTATTAATACTAAAGGCAGAAAATTTGCATTTTATATTAGATTTGATAGAGTGGGAAAAATTGAACAAAATATAATTTATTGATTAATATATCGAAGGCAGTCAAATGCAAGTGAGCAGTAAAATATGGAGTGACCATAAAATTGTTTATTTATTTAGAGGATGGAGATAATATGAAATTAAAAGTAATTTATAGGATAGAGCACTGGCTACAGAGCTGTTACGCTTGGACTAGAATAATATGGGGCAGAGTGTTTTAGTATGAACTGGCCGATCAGTAGATGCTTGGGGCATTGCTAGGGCTGCATTCGAATGGGCTGTGCTTTACTTTGGAATTAATTCTTTAAGAGCTTCTGTTTTAGTTGGAATTTTCTTCTTCTTTTTAATCAATTTAAAGGCTCACGTGTACAGATAAACTAATTGAACATATGTATTATACAGGTAAACTTGTATACTAGAATATATAGGTAGATCTTCTTCTCTTGAGATTTTATATATGAACAGAAATATCTAGATCGGTTCGATTGATTTAATTCGTTCGATTTAATCGAATATCCTCTCAAACCGATCAATACTCTCTATGCTCTTCGATGCCTCTCAAGGCTTCTGCTGCCGAATACAAATTCATAAAACTCGTCTGCTCTGAGTAACCATTATCAATGACCGAGAAGACAAGTCAAGCAATTGCCCTGCATTAAATTTCCTGTCCAAGACAAGGCAGCGTATGGAGCAATTAATTTATGCAATACTACTAGTTCTTTATTGACACATGTTGCCCATCATATGGTAAGCTTCGTTTCTTATTATTGACTTTGCAACACTGTTGCCACTGCTCAACCGCACTTCACAACACTAATTGTCAGTCGAAGTGGTTGCAATGCTGCTCAAGGCTCGAGCACTCAAGCTGCGCTGCTCATTAAGAATGCGCTCACAATCATAAGCAGACAGAGGCTGACCGCAAGAGAAGCGAACCTCAAGAATCACCATAAAGATGGGTGTATAAAAATAAAAAGGTCTGTCGAAAAAGGTACAAAATTGAAAACACTTTTAATATTCACTCTTGTAGCTGAATAAATGAGAAGTTGTCGGTGTGACTGTGGCTGTGGAAGTGGGTGTTCGTGTGGGTGGCTAGAAAATGCAAAGGCGAAACAACAGCAGGAGAAGGGCAGCCGCAGGAGCAGCAACAGCAGGAGCAGGAGCAGCAGCAGCAGCAGATAAAAGGGCCTGGCATAACAGCGAAACCAATGAAAGGCACTCAACTGAAGAGGCCAAAAAGTGACTCACAGAGCGAGAGCCACAATGCAAAAAGGATGAACGGAAACGAAAAGATTGACTGCAACTTGTGGCGCCTTTGTAGCAGACTGTTGTTGTTAAGATTGTTGTTGTTGTTGTTGCACTTTTGCGTGGCCAAGTCCAGAGTGTGGCGAGCCCATGCCATTTCCCTTTGCCTTTTGCAAACAGCACTCAGCTCACTTCAATGAATACTTTATGGGTTAATAATCGTAAAACCATTCAACAGCAACAGCAACAGCAGCAGCAGCAACCACCGCCAACTACCTCCTCCACCATCAAGGCGGGCAACATCGTTTGGGCCAACTTTTGTGCGCGAAAATTCATAAACAATGTGCATAAAGCGCAAAATGTAGCGCTTCTGCGAGCTGACCCCAAGGGGCAACTTTATAGGTGTGCACTATGTGTGGCTGCGGTGGGGCAAGCAGGGAGGGGCAGGCAGGTAAGGCAGGCGGGGCAAGTGGGGCCAGTGGAGTGCTGGTTATGCGTTGCTCGTCGATTGCTTGTCGCACTGCGCTGGCAAATTGTGTGCCAGCTGCTGTTATTGTTGTTGCTGTTAAGAGTGGAGTTTGGCAACAATAGCAAAAGGCAGCTATTGTTGTTGCTGTTGTTGTTGTTGTTGTTATTTTGCATACTGGACAGTTGAATGAGTGGGTGAAGTGGCGGCTGGGTAGATTTGGCGGACAGCTCAATGGGACTTTCAGTTGAGCAACGCTTAGCGCACAGTTTGACGTTGATTTTGTGTTCGAGGTGTTGTCATTGTTGATGTTATTGGGTTGTTGTTGTTGTTGCCGTTTTGTTGTTGTTACTCCTTTGCGGATTATAAACTTGTACAGCACTTTAATGACTAAAATGGATTAAATATGTGCCATGTGCAAGGTGGGAAAAATTGCGAACGTAACAGAATCATTTTACAGGGAATATCATAGATAGATATTGGATACGGATTTATCTTGTAACGTGACATAGAGAATAGCTTTAATTGAACTATCAATGGGAATAGCAACGCAGAGATATTGTCAGTTGCTAGTTATATAGGTAGAGAAAAATGTTGGAATAGGGTAGATATTTTGTACATGTAACTCGGCTCGGCTTGTAGAACATTGAGTGGGATTTTAAGCAGTGCTATAGATGGAGGTATGTAGATCATAATAAAGGAGTACTGAAAATGAGAAACTAAAAAAAAATGTAATTCAACTGTTTATTTAGCAAAATAATTAGGGGACTCAAGCCAAGATTATGAAACATATAATGGCATATTTTGATATATAGATATATATCTATCTATATATACATATATCTGAACAAATAAAAGTATAAATATAGTATATGTAGTATAGTATATAAATAAGCATTAAAAATTAATAAATACATATATATAAAATATAAATTCATATATATGTATATAAAAGATGAATATCGTTATATAAATATATAAACAACAATAAATATAGAATTATTATATTATAATAATCATTTGAATAGATAATTAATTAGTTAGGCTAATCATCATTTATATATTTTTAAGAATATTCTTCAAGCGCTAAAATGAAATTTAATAAATATCTGAAATAGATTTATTGTATGCTTGCGAAAAATATTTAATACAATTTTACTTGTTTCTTCTTTTACAGATTTGGATTGGAATATCTTAGACAGAAGCGAAGCTGGTTTGTTTTTGTTCAATAATTTAAAACAATGAACTTTAAAAAAAAAAAATAAATAAATAAAAAAAAAAATAGAATAAAATAAATAAATAAATAAAATAAAAAGTAGACAACTATAAAATGAAGTAATACAAGTGTTTAACATATATAATAAATAAATGGAATAAATGTTATGTATCCCGATATATATGTATATTTCGCTAAATATTTTGCATTATCTAATCCATGGCAATTTAAAACTGACCCAAACATGACAGTCACTGTGCTGCCCATTTCAAACCTATTTCCAGCGCTAGCGCCCGTCCAGTCCACTCCAATTGTAACCCCAGTGAGCGAAGCGTAAAAAAGTCATTCGATACACTTCAAAATTTGACCTAGGCACAAGCACAAGCACAGCACAAAAATGCTTCAGCTGAAGAAAGGAGAAAGATGTGAAAGCAAAATTGCACACAAATCTTCCATCGTTTAACGTAAATAGAATTTATCAAATTTAATTTCACGCTTCATGCGCTCATTTCGATTTAACTTTTGAGTAGCATAAAAAAAAGCAAAAAGCCAAAAAAATAAAAAGAGGGCCAATGAATGTCAAAAAATGTGACCATAAATGACATTTGGCTCTTTGCTCGCCCCCAAGTGTTGGCGCCAATAAATCTAAGAGCAGGAGTTGCAGATAGTAGAGCAGGACTATCCAAGGAGCAGCGTTTGACATAATAATAGTGGATGCCGTAATCGTAGAGTAAAAATCAAATGATGAAGGTTGCCAGTGAAATGGGATGCGAATTGGTTTGGCCAAAGTTATGAAAGTAAATATTTGGGCACATGTGCCAAAAGCGAGAGGCCGGAGCACATCCCCACTCATATTTTGCATATGCCCTATGCCTATGCGGCTGTAAAAACATGTCAAAAGCCAGATACGAACAACAAGAGGAAGAGGCAGAGGCAGAGAAAGATATGGCAAAGAAAACAAAACATTTTCGTGTCAAGTGTTGTCGAGAAGCTGTTTTTCAGCTTGACTTGCTTTTTGACTAGGGTTATGGCAGCTCCGTAACGTTCCGCTCCTGCCTCCTGCCTCTACCACACCCTGCTCGCCATAGTCATAATCAAAAATGTATTTAATTTGCCTTTATTCTGTGCTGTTTAAACTTTTCGGCGGTTCGCCCATACATTTTTGATATATGTGCCATGCATAGTGATATGGTGTGGAAAATTACTTTGTATTTTAATGAGTTGTCTGTGATTTTGTGAGCCGGGGCTGGCAAGTCGGTCCTGGCAAAGTTGGTCCTCGAGATAAATTGCTGGCAGCTGAGTGGGGCGTGGGCGTAGCCTAATGGGCTGATAGAATGGCCTGATAAGAAGTCAAGTGAAACTATCAGGAATAACAGTAGATTAACAGCTGTAACCATAAATAACATGAAAAGGCTGCGCTTGCGGTCGGTGCGTTGACACGCTGTGAAAGCGGCGAAACGTAATAGAGAGAAGGTTTCCTTATAACTAACTGGCATAGGTTATTTTCTCTTCAATAACGCCTCGAGCATTGCGCAGTAAATTAAAATTAAAATATTTACACACATTCTTAGCTGAAGATCTCAATTTGCCTGCAAGCGTTGAGCAACAATAGATTAGCCATTTATCTATGGCAGCGATCGGAGGAGCAGTAGTCCAGACTCGCTGCCCTCAGGGCTGGCATTTAATAGTGGCAATGTTTATTAGAAATACGACAAGTTGTAGGCCAGCGGATTTGGCTCACTTGCTCCCTCCCCCTCCTCTCCGCTCTTGGCAACACGTTGCAGGCGACAGTCGCAATTCGCAATTCGCATTGGCAAGCCGAAAAGTTGCCAAGTGCAGCGAGGCGTAGCTTTTTTAATAGAGTCATAACTTGGCCTCAACTAATGGGAGCTCGCCGAGCAACTGAACCAGGCCCGGTCTGGCCCAGCCCAGTTCAGCCCAGCTCGGCCCGGTCCAGACTTTGCTTAGCAATAACATAAAGCCCTCGTTTTTTGCCCCTGCCTCTTCTCTACAGTTTTTTTTTTCGTGGGCACGACTTTGGTTACAATTCAATTTGCAGCGGGCGCTTTTCTTTGGACTCTTTTTCTGTAGTGGTCTGTGGCCTTAAAAATTGTGCCCCGCCACCTGGTGTGTGTCTGTGTTAGTGTCGTAAATGTGTGGAAATTGTGGGGTGTTATGCCTTCCAGATACGTGTTCAGCGGGCGGTCCTAGCTGCAGTGTGTGGCCAAGTGTGGCCAACTCTCGGCTGGGCTGGGCGCTGGCGCTGGCACTGTGTGCTGCAGTGGCTGGGGCTGTTGTTTTATTATCTGGACCTTGGCAGGGGACTCGCATAATTGTCTTGGGCAAAGTGTGTTCGTGTAAAATTTTAATTGCTTTTTAGTGCAAACACTTGGAAAATTTGTAGTTTTCGTTGTCTAACAAGATCCGAGCAACAGGCCAAATGTCAAACATGTTAGCTGACACTGATTGGAAATCGCTGAACATGACAAGCAGCTCGTATGACAGAGCATTTATAGCCTAAGTATTGTAGGGAAGTAGAGGAAAGTAGGAGTAGAGAAGTAGGAATTGAGCTGGTAGTGGAGTGTAAGAGGTGGATGAGATGGTAAAGGCGAACAGGTCGGAGGATAGGAAATTGAGGAGTAGAGGTATATAGGAGTAGACGAATATGGAAGTAGAGGAAATATGTAGATAAATATAAGAAGTATACGAGTAGAGGCGATAGAGCAGTATAAGAGGTAGATGATTATAAGAGGTAGATGACTAGAGGTCTTAGAGTAGTATAAGGGGTAGACAAGTAGAGGAGGTGGAGAAGCTAAAGGTAGATAGCGCGTAGAGTTGAGGATTAGAAAATATTTTGAAGTAGAGGTATATAGAAGTAGAGGAATAATGGAAGTAGAGGAATAAAGGAAGTAGAGGAAATAGAGAAGTGTAAGAAGTACACGAGTAGTATATATAAGACGTAGATGAGTATAAGGGGTATATGAGTATAAGAGAGTAGAGGTCTTGGAGGAGTATAAGAGGTGCAGATGGAAGATAGCACGTAGAGTTGAGGAGTAGAAGATATTGCGAAGTAGAGGTATATAAGAGTAATGGAATAAAATGAAGTAGAAGAGGTAGAAGAGTAAAAGAGGTACACGAGTAGAAAAGATTGTTGAATTTTGGAGTGGAGGAAATTGAAGAGTAGAGGTACATAGGGCCATAGAAGTAGAGAAAATAGAGAAATAGAAGAGGTAACCGGGTAGAGGAGGCAGACAAGGTAAAAGAAGAGATTAGGTTGAGTGGAGGCATATAGAAAATTGAGGAGTAGAAGAGACTGACAAAAAATGCAAGTAGAGCAGTACAGCAGGTTGAGGAAGTAGGGAAGAGAATTATCCATTTGATCTAAGCACTTCAGTAAAGTCAACATGTTATTCCAGTTTATATTTCCCTTACAATCAAGGGCTTAAGGTCTTGCCTTTGACTTTCTGTATCACTCTTCAACTTTAATTAAAGCTTCATAATTCACTGGGCGGCTATTAAATAGTTGCTCCATCAACCACTTTGTTAAACAAAATCTAACCGACGACCTCGATGCGAGTTGACCGCAACCACAACGACGACCACGCCTCCGGTTTAAATAGGCGACAGTTCACCTTTTTAATGAGGCAAGAAGTTGATGCCACATAACGAGGCCATTATCTGCCATTGTGTGGGTGTTTGGGGTACGCAACTAAAGGGATACGGGACGTGCGACAGACTCTCGCGGTTTAGTGAGTGCTAAGCAACCGGTGAAGACAATGCCGACAAAGCCTTGGCCGAGCTTTATTGTTATTTTAATTAGAAAACTTAGTGGCAGTCGACGGGCGCTGCTTCTATTAAGACTTTAGTTGATTTAAGGCCTTGGCCGGTTCGGCAACTGCAAACTATGCAGCGCTTTTTACAGCATTGAATATCAGAAACGTTATGATATATTGCAGCAGCTTATGCACTTGAAAAAAGCAGCAAATGTATGAAATTCTGCTGCGAAAAACAAGGGAAATTCAGACGAACCACAGAAATTTGTTCGTTGCGAGCGAGGCAGCCAGAAAAAAACAAGAAATTCCCAAAAGTATGCAACACGCCCGTAACATGTGCAACACCACAACAACAGCCAGGCATTCAAACTTACACACACACACACACACACATTCCCATTAGCCAGGTGTTGGTGCGAGTGAAGACGGACTGCAGACGGACGCAGAGCGTGGCAGGAGGATAGAAAGACAAACCGCAAGCTTGGCCAACTCCCTTCAAAAAGTAGCTTTTTATTTTTGTTCATAGCTCGGAGCTCCCTACACGAAATAGTTTTATAGCTACCCGGCAACGGTCACTCAGTGCGAGGGTAGCAACAATGGCCAGGGATGGGGGAGGGAGGCATGCAACGCACTGTGAATACTCTTTGGATGATATATGATATGTGTAACGTAAGTACTGGAAATTGCAAGCTCTTTATTTATTTAAGTTTCAATTAATTTAAAGTTACTCAATTCAATAATATTTTCGAAATAGTGTTAATCAAAAATTTTACTTTAGTTTATTTTATTTTTTAGAAGATTTTTTACTATATAATATTGTGTTTCATTCAACTTTATATAAATTTTAAAACCTTTTAATGCCTTAATAAATATATAAAAACAGCTTGTGAATTATCTTCAATTTGTTCGAGTGAATATACATTAAATTAATTTATAAATATATAATATATGAAAAAGGGCGTATAGCAAGGATAGGTATTGCTTAGAAGACATCAAATGAGATGTTTATGAATAAATTAATAATTTGGGAAAACAAATCACTAAGCTGGCGATTTTTCTTAGCATACAGCTTATATATTACATTATGGTATTAATACTTTCTTATTATTAAATATATAGATATTTTACATATTTTCAATTCATTCATATTTTAAAATATATCAATGAATTTATTAACAATTTGTTTTCTTTTTGCCTCATTTTTCTACACTTCCAATATAATATTAAATTATAAACAGTTTAACCAAACTCAAGACATAGCTAATGTACCCTAAAAAGTGCTGCTAAATCGGTGTTGAGTTTGTTTATGACCAGCTCGTTGGACTGAAACGGATGTGCCTTTAAGTTGTATATCCGTTGGCTAACTGTAAATGTGTGTGCATGTGTGTGTGTCGGTGTGTGTTTTCTCTGTGCAGTATTTTGAGCT